TAGTCAACTCTAATTGCTAGTAAGAAGTTTTTTCCCTCTTAGCTCAAAACTAAAGTTGCCTCTTTTCAACTTCAATCCATTTAATTCCACCCTTCAAGTGAAAAAAAAAGGAAATGTAATCCCTCTTCCACATGACAGCTCCTCAAATACTTGAAAACCACTCTCTTTGCCTCTCCTCATCACCCACCCTCATCCCTGTACAACTTCTGTTCTCCAGGCTAAACTTTTTAAGTTCTTTAGTTGCTCCTCATATAACATGTACCTTTCTTTGTTGCCAGTCAGTGCATTCAATATTTCTCCTTGCTTAGTGTTATATGAACATTTGATAAGCATGTCATCTGTGCCTTTAAGTTATTAATAAAATATTTAACAGTGCAGGACTAAGTATAGATTCCTGGTATACTTCTCTGGAGACTTGAAAAGTTCACAATAAATCCATCACTACTCTTTGGGTCCAATTATTCAAACAATTCCATGTTGTATTCTCCCAGTAGGATACAAGTTCCTTGACAGGATGGACTGATTTGTTTTTATCTCCCCTACCCATAGTGCAGTTCACTTAATAGATACAATTTCATTTCTCCTAGGCCTCCTGCTTTACTTTAAGTCCTTTGGCTTATGCTTTATTTGATTATTGTTTAGTCCATGTCTCTTCATCTTCACAAGAATAGAATAAGACAAAAATAAATAAAAAGTTAATTTAAAAAATTTTTAAAAAAGAGTAGAAAAAGACACTTTATCAAATGACTTGCTAAATATCTGATTAAATTATATCCATAGAATTGCCCTAATCTATGAGTATGACAAATTCTGGGAACTTCATTCAGTGATAATTTCATTAACCTCTAAAAAATGGCTTATGCCGTTGGGGATATAATGTGTATCATTTTATTCTTGTGAAGATAGAGAGGTATGGACTAAAGAATAATACAATTATATGGATCCAGTTGAATGGCCAATATCAAAGAGTAGTCAATAATGGTTCAATGTCATCTGGAAAAGAGGTCTCCAGTAGCATGCTTCAAAGGCCTTTGTTTGGTTTTTATGATATTTAAGACTTTTGTCAATGATTTGGATAAAGATGGTATCTTTAAAACCTTTGCAAATGAGACCAAGATGGAAGAAACAACTAAACCATTGGATTGCACTCAAGATCTGAAAAGACCTTGCCAGAGCACTGGATTGAAAATAATAATATAAAATTCACTAAAATTGATACATACATACATGCATATATGCACATATATATATATATATACACTCACTCACACACATACATATATGATCTTTATAGATATATATGTATATATCCTGGATTCAGATGTTCCTTTCAAAATGCAAATCATAACCCACCCATACTTGACTATTCTGAGTGACTCTTGTCAATGACCTCCGATATGTCCTGAGAGTCCATTAAATGTGCTGAGGTCTTGTTTTCCCCTAATATTTTCAGGGTATCTATAAAGTACTCTGGTTCTTCACCTGACAGGCTTCATTTTTGTCCCATGACCAGTCCATCTTCTCTTTTTATCATATGATTTCTTAATGACGTTATTTTATTAATGTTTTCAGAGTTCTTTATTGGCTATATTTTAGATCCTGCTCAAATCAACCATGTGTTCTCCATAGCCATTTTTGATGTTCATTCTTAACTTGTTGGATGCATAATAGTCTATGTGGCCCTGTGATATAGAAATGCCAGTGGAATGTTAATATGTGAAGCTTGGAGTCAGTGAAAGAGCTTTAGAATCTCTTGGAGGCAATCCAGTCTACTCTCTTCCTGCTGTTAGAATCTGGTTGCAACTCGCTTTCCACCTTTACTATCCAAGGATAGTACAATCCCTAAATTACATACTAATGGACAAACCATCTGATGTGCATCCAAATGCATGGAGAAATCCAGACAATAGACATTTATTCTTCATCCACTTAGTTTTCCTATATGGATGAACAGGTCATATTTCTTTGAGTGATTCCATCTCTCTTTCAGGAGGTTATGTAATATTATGGCAATCAGCAAAATCTTCCTAAAAGAGGATTATCCGGAGCACCTCAAAGTCCTTGGTGAATTGTTCTTTGAACTAGATACTACTCTGGATTCCCTTCATCACAGTGAAAAATATCTTTGACAAGCCATTGATCTTCCTATTTTGTGCCTCCTCTGATTACTGAACAGGGCTATTTCTTTCATCGTATCTTCTAAGGAATGTTGAATGACTTTGTAGTATGGGTAGGGAATACCTTTTTGTAAATGAACATGCAAGGAGTAGCATTGTTCTACCAAATCAAATATAAAATGGGATTTTATATTCTCTACATATTTAGTTCATTGTTAAATAGTGAAGATATGGTCCATTGTTGAATGTTTCTCTTGTGAAAGTCTGCTAACTATCCACTAACAGCCTCAATGAGGATGTACCTGATCCATATACAAATGACTTTCATGAATTCTTTGTATAGATGGGAAAGTAGGCATACAACTCATTATATAGATAGAAGAACATACTGGAAAGGCTTTGAGTGTGTTGTCAAAGAAGAAATTGAAAAGGGATAAATATAAATCTTGCAGAGGAATCAAAAAATCAACTTCAAAAGCACAGAATAGGGAAGGCATAGTTAGATAGTAGATGATCTGAAAACAGATCTAGGGTTTTTAGCTAATTACAAGCTTTCTACATATATGCAGCATGATGTGATAACTGAAAGTTAATGTGATCTTGGGCCGCATTAAGAGTGACAACTTTCTGGAATAAGGAGATGATAGTACCTCTGTATTTCACCCTTATCAGACCTCATCTGGAATACAGTGTTCTGATCAAGGCTCAACATTGATGAAAGACATTGACAGGGAGAAAATGTTCAGAGCAGGACATCAAGGATGATAAAGTTCATGTCACAATGAAGTTTTGTTGGAAGAACTAGAAATGTTTAACTTAAAAAAGAGAAGAGGTAGGAGGACATGATAGTTGTCTTGAAATATTTCAAGAAGAATTAGTTCTTTTTGGCACTGAAAAAAGAAACACATGGGATGGGATACAGAAAACAAAAGTAAATCAGAAATTCCTGGTATCCTAACCTAAAATAAAAAGTGAAAACCAAAACATTAAAGCCATAACAAGGCAAACCATTATAAAGAATAAAATAGTTTAACACCCACTTAAAATACTATACTATGGAGGTTTAAGAAACCAAGAAATCAGAAGCAACAGAGAAACCCAAAGAAAAAAGGAGGTGGAATATTTCTGGTCATCTACACAGTCAAAAAAAGTATAACATAACAAAAGGCCAATTTGAATCAAACATGGAACAGAAAGCTCTTTCTGGACTGTGGTTAATATAATGAAAGGCAGAATAGTTGTGATAAAAGAGGTAACAGAAACAAATTTTTTCTTCAAAACTAGAAAGGAATTGGCCCAGAAAATATCCAGAATTATGTCTCAAATACCTCTAAATGGCATATAAACTGAGAGCAAACATCTTAAGCTCTGATGTAAGTCTGATTTTATCTTTCTTAAGAGATGACATCATGTATTTACAACTAAAAGTCCTAAATACCACTAACTGACCCCTCTGAATAAAGGAAATTACATATTTAAGAACTTTATGAAAAATATCCACAGCTTATATTGCTCAAAATATGTAAACACTTATGTGAAAATAATTATCTTGGCTGGGAAGCAAAAAGAAAAATTCCTCCCAAAGTGCCAGAGGTTATAAAGAGCAAGCATTGTAACATTTAAGCTGTCTATTGATTATCATAGTCTTTAACTCAGTTCTACACATATGGCTTAGTCATGCACTGCAAATATATAAACTAGATCCAAGTATAATGAGTATTTGATGCTCATATGAAAAGATGTTATATATTTAAAACATGGCTCCAACACAATAATGTCAAAAATAATTGATATAAAATGTGGCATCTCCTAGGGAGATAGTTTAAGCCCAATATCATTCTGCTTAGTCTTAGTTCCATCAGCATCACTTCTGAATAGAAGTGAGTATGGGAGTTGTTTTAAAACATCATATGTACATATGTACATAGATGATATTGTGATATGGTTCCACTTAAAATCACATTAAACAACTATTTTATTTCATGGAAACATTCTTAAATGATACTGAAATGAAACTTGTACTTGATAAGTAGAAAATTCTTAATGTGTATCATAGATGAATCAAAACTGAAAGCTTTCAGTTTGTAGACAGAGGGCAATTGAATTAAGAGATGAAAGTAATACTTAAAAATAAATGTCAGACAAGACAAATCAAACATAAGGCAATTAAAGGGAAAGGTGAGGGTATGTGTGTGTTGAGAAACTGACTGGAATCCTGAAGTCAAAACTTAACAGGAAGCACAGATTTAGAGCAATTAATTAGTTTTAGCTTTTAATAGGAAGTACAGATTTAGAGCAATCAACTAGTCTTACTGTATCAGAATACTAGTCTTAATGTATTCTTTGGTTAAAGTGAAATGCACATCAAAATGGATCTAGATGGTAACAAAAGGAAAATTTTCCAAATGGTAATGAGACACATAGTGTGCCAACTCCAAAGTAACTATAGAAAGATGAACATTTTCTCTGAAAAATTAGGAAGAGAATTGACAAATAACCTCAGAGCTTGATTTTCAAAAAGTGAAACCTCCACAGAAATATTTATGAAACAAATAGACCTCATTTCACAGAACAGCAAAACAACTACCAAGAGATTGATACCATCAGTTTGTCAACTGTAACCTAAAGTGACTTGTTTCTGGGGGAGGATAATTAACAACTCTAACTACAAAGACAATAACAATAACAACAACAACAATAATAATAACAACAATAATAATGTCATACTTTAAGGTTTTCAGGGCATTTTAAATATCTTATTTGATCCTCACAATAACCCTGTGAGATAGATGTTATTATTAAAAATAATCAATTCCATGTCAATAAAAATTATTAAATGACTGAGTCATGAAGTTTTATGCAAATAGAGTGAAATAGTATATATGTAATATGGAATGTTTCATGAATTTGCATGTCATCCTTGCATAGGGACCATTCTAATCTTCTCAGTATCATTCCAATTTAGTATATGTGCTGCCAAAATGAGCAGGCTTTTCTTAAAGAATCAAAATACTGAAAATAATTTTGCAGCTAGGTGGCAAAATACATAAAGTATTAGATGTCAGGAAGACCTGAGTTCAAATCCATCCTCAGATATTTACTAGTTATATGATTCTGAATAAGCCATTTAATCACCCATTTGCCTCAGTTTCCTCATTTGTAAAATGAAGATAATAATAGATGGTAATAGATTCAACCTCCTAGGGCTGATAATAAGTTAAAATGAGATGATATTTATAAAGCACTTTGCAAATCTTAAAACACTACATAAATGCTAGCTATGAGGAAGAGGAGGAGTAGGAAGCAATGAAGTGGGGGAAACTGTATATCATAGCATTGCAGGTAGCAAAATTTAGCATCTACCAGATGCCTAGAAAAAAAAATCAGATGACTAGCATTATATACCAGAAGTTTCCTATCCTTAAAAACTAACATAAAAAAAAACTCCAAAATGCAAGTACAAATCTGTAAACATTCTGGAGAATTCATTTAATAAACTTTATTGAAATATGGGATGCTTCAGCATCTTTACAGACAAAACTACGGGTTATAACTGCTTAGATATAACATTACTTCAAACAAATTTGAGAACAATCTTTTTAATAGGTCTTAATACAAAATGCTCATAACATCCACACTACATGGAATGAAATATTTTTAAATTTCATAGACTAAGGAAGAAATTAAAACAATTTAAGAAGAAATTGAGTTGCATGGGATCCTTTTTGTTCTACCTACTACTAAAGCTAAGATCTTGGCAACTAGTCTCATCTCTTCCTGGTAAACAGAGGGAGAAGAAATGGAAGCAGTGTCAGATTTTGTATTCCTGGGCTCAAAGATCACCGCATATGGCAACTGCAGCAATGAAATGAAAAGACTCTTGCTCCTTGGAAGGAAAGTTATGGCAAATCTGGACAGTATACTAAAAAACAGAAACATTACCTCGCTGATAAAGGTCTCTATAGTCAAAACTATGTTTTCCGCTAGTAATATATGGCTGTGAGAGTTGGACTATAAGGAAAGCTGAGTGCTACATAATCTGTGCTTTCAAATTGTGGTGCTGGAGAAAACTGTTGAGAATTCATTGGACATCAGGGATACCAAATCAGTTTGTACTTAATGAAATTAATTCAGACTACTCATTGGAAGGACAAATACTGAAGCTGAAGCTTAAATACTTTGGCCACATAATGAAAAGATAAAACTCATTTGAAAAGATCCTGATGTTGGGAAAGATTGAAGGCAAAAGGATAAGTGGACAGCAGAGGATGAGATGGATAGGTAGTGTCATGGTAACAACAAATATGAGTTTGGATAGACTTTGGGAGATAAGGGAGAATAGAAGGGCCTGGTGTGTTATGGTTCATAGGGTCACAAAGAGTCAGACACAACTGAACAAGTGAACAATAGTTACTACTACTACTACTACTACTAATACTACTTCTACTACTACCGCTACTACTGGAGCTATCCCAAAGACGCTTTTAAAAAATTTAGAAAGGATGGGCTTACATCCCAATACTTTTATTCAATTATAAAAACCAGCCATTTTATTCACCAACATATTCCAGAAAACATTAAACACAGAAGAATTATACCAGGATAGCAACTCTTCTTGAGACTATTTCTACCTGAACCACATTGAAAAGGATAAGAAGAATGAGATTATAATGACAATACTAAGTAACATTTTGTAGTTTGTTTTTTTTAAGGCTTATAAAGGAAATGCCCTTTTGTAGATTATAAGCTTCTTGAGGGCAAGCATTATTTTGATATTGTTTTTGCATCCTTAGTACTTCACAGAATGGTTTTCACATGATTATTCAGAGTTTATTGAATCAAAATAATTTACCCTCACCTAATCTGTTAGCCGATAATAGCCTAAAGTGAAATTCTTCATAAGTGTGCCTTTATTTTAATAAACAACTCTTAAAGATCAAAATGCCTTTGAAAACTGAAGGAGAAAATACTAAGTGGTAGACTCTGTGGCACCATGAGAAAGCAGAGACATGTTAAGCTAAGGGCCTGGTTTATATGTCATCATGCCACATGGGCGGCATCAAGCCCATTCCTAAATCTATGTAGTCAACAGAATAGTCTCACACAGCCATCACCAATGAGATCAACCAGTTAACAAATATTTACTGAGTTTATCAGAGCTGGGACAAAATATTTGTACAACTTAAGAAAAGATTGTTTGTGCCACCATTATCCTTGCATTTAAGATATGTTGTTCAGTAATTTTCAGTCGTGTGGGACTTTTTGTGACCCCATTTGAGGTTTTCTTGGCATATATACTGGAGTGGTTTGACATTTCCTTCTCCAGCTCATATTACGGATGAGGAACTGAGGCAAACATGGTTGTGACTTTCCCAGGATCACACAGCCAGTAAGTGTCTGAGGCCAAATTTGAACCCAGATCTTCCTGATTCCAGGCTGGGTACTCTTTCTATTGTCATATAGCTGCCCACATTTAAGGATGACACACCTTACATGCGAGCATTCAATAAAGGCTTTGAACCTTCAATTATCACTTGGGACTTGATTTAACATATACTACCTTGACAGGAATATTATAAAATATTTTTAATATAATATTTAAATTTATTCCTTGTTAAACCCACATGCCCACTCCTATACATTGCACCCAAGCTGGTTACCTACCTTGTCTATTCCTAGCTCTGTTTCTGGCATATATTTTCTATTACAATTTTGGACCAGGGGGAGTGATGGCAACATCACTTCTACATGGCAACACCCTGAATAATGAGGTTTGATGGTTCATAGCTGTCTATTTCCATGGGAAAGCATGATCTGAGTAGGCACAGAATGGTTTAATCACTGAGTTTATAGACCCCAGCCTATAGCCTGATGTTTTGTTTAATTGTCTAAAGCTCTAGGAATCAGAAACGAAAGGATACTTGTGTTTAAAATGAAGGGACTGTTGTAGACTTACAGGGGCAGAAATCAGAGTGAACATTTTGACCTTACTTTATCTACCCCACATTTGACCTAAGAGAAATGAAAGTTCCCTTGGTTCTGTTTAGCCTTCCATAGGCCTGAGGTCCAGCACACACAGTCCCAGCCTATAAAAAGGACTTTAGTCATCTGTCTTGTCTGGCTCATTCTAACTCATCTCTGTCTCACAACACCACAAAACCTCACAACCTCAGGAGCCCCTGGGCAGTTGAGCTAAATGAAACTTCTGGGTTTCAGTTTGATGTTGAGCCCTGCCACATGTATTCAGGAGAAAATGAACCTCCACGGCTATAAACTGCAAACAGATCAAAACCACTAAGACTGTTTGATGAGACCCATGTGAAGGAAAACCGCTGAGTTGTGCCTGTCTCTTGTTAAGCACACAGGGCTTGTTCTGTTGAATGCTGGTTATTATATATTCCCACCCCACCTTGTTCATCCCTTTCAGGTACCAGTTTGTCAGCAATACTAATTATTCATGGTTGCCAACAGAAATGCAGATTCCTGAAAATTAAGCTTGCAGGTACTCTGTGGAAGCCATGTCCACTACACAATCACAATCAGCAGAGTTTCCTATAGATTCAGAAAGCCTGAGGTCACAAGAGTAGAGAAAAGTAAGGACAATAGAATTATGTTCTCATCAGCTGTTGCCCCTGTTGGAGGCAAATGATGCTGGTAAGAATTTCATATTTACATGCCCTCAACATTTGCCGTCTGAGCAGCTGTCTTTCTCAATTTGCTGGGAAAGATTGCTACAGAGGTGTGACCTATGTTGGGTCTGCCTATATGATATTTGTTCTGGACTTTGTATTTCAGTGAATTCTATCCCAATGAATGGTGTTCCTCAACTGGTCCTTTGTATGAGTTGGTATCTGCTATTATTTCCTGTGAAATTGTTCTATTCTCTACTCTCATGACCTCAGGCTTTCTGAGTCCATAGGCTTATGGGAAACTCTGCTGATTGTGATTGTGTAGTGGACATGGCTTTCACAGAGCACCTGCATGTTATAGTCCTTGTGATCCTGGGAATTCACTGACCTTTGGGAAGAGATCTGTTCCTTTTCCTCTTTCTCCAGTCAATATCTATTTGTGGTGGGCAAGAAGTAAACAGGAAAGGACTCTGAGATAATCAGATTGCTAGGTATAACAACCACTTTTGAAAATCAGCCCCAGACTAGTCTCAAATTTCTGTGTAAGAGTCTAACTCTGAGGTTTGCTTTTGATCTACTATTAAAGGAAACTATCCAAGAAGAAAATAAAGCAATCCTTATACAAAACCCCTATACAAAACCCCTATAGTATATATTTATTTATTTTGATAGCAATGATATTTTCAAACATTAATTTATTAGCATAAAAAGCTGGAATATTTTCATTCTTTCTAGAATAATCTTGTTGGTTATCAGAAAGGTGACAGATTGAATTTCTCTGTGTTTGTTCTCAAATGATCTCAGGTATAAGTGGAGAGAAGTCAAATTCAGTGACCAAGAAAGGAGCTCCATGAATCTTTTTTAGTCATCAATATTTTCGGGTCCTCAGTTGCCCCATATATTCAATGGCAAAAAATAGGAGCTAAACCACTTTTTCTTCTTGGATTATAGAGGAAAGAGATCAATTATTATTTTATAAACATCTTATGTAGTACATTACATAATGGAGCATTGGTTTATCAAAAATATTTCATTAGATGATCTATAAAATAAAATTCATAAAAATCATAAATTCATAAAAATCACCACAAAATCAAATTAATAAATAAAATAGCATTGATGACATGACATTATGACAATGAAATAGTACTGTTGTTTATATTGCATATGAACTATATGAATATATTAAATCTAGCAAATGATAGAATAAAAACATACTTTCAGTTAGTATTTATAAAGTTGACATGTATTGCTATTTCAAAGGTAACTTTCCTGAAGAACAGCCCTTTATTGAGTTCAGAGAACTAAGTAAAAAAGTCTCAATTCTTGCTCCAGAATATAATTTTCAAAAAGTATATCA